TGAAGACAACGCAGTACTTTTATCGGGCGAAAGGGCGTAAGTCACGGCTTATGTATACTCTATAGGGTAAAATCTATAATCAATATCTAAAGAGAACAATTATAAGCTTTCAGAAATTACACCTAGGAACTTAAATCTGTATATATTCATTTTTATGTAGTTATATATACTTACCAATAATAATTGTTTTTGATTAATATTTTAAGAATTAGTAAAATAATATTCGTAATTTAATAAATCGAAAATAATAAACGAACAATACAATAAAAAATACATATAAGTATGTAATAAATATTGATATTAATATAAGTGCTGGTGGATATTACAACACTACTACACTACACTGTGGGTGTTGTAAGAAACGACAGAGGGAAACAAATCAGGAAATTGGCAGTAGCGTCTTGTTGATAACGACTAAAAATAAAAAATAAAATCAACTCGCTTGCCAGCCGTAGCAACTATGGCAAATATCCCCCTTATGAGACAATCTATGGGGAAGGCCTATGTTCAGCTGTGGAGCTGTGGAGGTGTGTGTTAGGCGGTAACGGTAAGTGCTGGTGGTCAAGCGTAAAGACTTCTCACACATTTTTGGTCCCATGTCTCTGAGACTGCGTCCAAGCTAAGTAAGCTTTATTATATTATACTATTTTTATTATATTAAACCATGGTAGCTTGGTTGCTAAGCGCTTGCTATAAATTTTACAGTACGCGAGCCACAAGTGTTCGGTTCTATTTTTCTGATTTAACACGTGTTTGGCAGTGAAAGAAAAAATCGTGAGTTAACTGCATGTCTGGAAAAATAAAATATTTCGAAGAAACGTGAAGTTTGTCAACAAGTATTAGTTAATAGAATCAGGCGTAACCGCTATGGTTAGACACCGTAGAGTCTATATCACCTGAGGATGCCTCGTCTAGAGGCGAAACACGTGTCGTATTATCGTCAGTGGTGTGTCTTGCCTAGTGTAGTGGTATTGGGAGTAGCGGTGGTGGGATTAGTGGTGACAGGGATAGTGCACGCAATTGAGGGAGGGCGGGAGGTGCTCTTCATACTAGGTAAGACACATCATTTTATTTTATAACGCGGATATTTGCGAAGTAGTTTTTTCTAAGAGCTTTTAAACATGGATTAGAGCCGCGCGGCGGACGTTTTACGTTCATTGGCCTAGAACCCCTGTTATACTTCACACAATAATTTAGAATAAAAAATATTTGCTGTAGCGTTATCAGAGGAATAAGTTATTCGGTGTAATATGTTCAATTTAACTTTTTAGCGTAAGCAAACAACATTTATTTTAAATCCTAACATCAACAGAAATTATTATAAATTACAAAACAGGCTGTATCATTATTGCTGGGATTTAATTGAATAAAGATTAAAACTTTTAGATATTTGTGGCTTATCACAAAGTCCTATAATATGGGGAAAAACCTACGTCGGCGCGTTGTAACATTTTAATTGATTTTTTTTTATAGAATAGGGGGCAAACGAGCATGCGGCTCACCTGATGGTAAGTGACTACCGCCACCCATGAACAACCGCAACACCAGGGGAATTGCAGATGCGTTGCCGGCCTTTTAGAAAGGTGTAAGCTCTTTTCTTGAAGGTTCCTAAGTCGTATCGGTCCGGAAAATTCGCTGGTGGTAATTGATTCCACAAGGAAGTTGTGCGAGGGAGAAAACTTCTTCTAAATCGCACAGTGGTGGACCACCAATCATCCAGATGGTATGGATGGTAACGCGAGTTTTGTCGCGATGTGCGATGGTGAAATTGAGCGGCTGGAATTAGTCCGAACAATTCCTCAGAGCACTCCCCGTGATAGATGCGATAAAATACGCAATAATAATATCCGAAACAAATTAAATTGAAAGAGAAGAGTCGGGGAACAGTCATTGCATCTGAAAGGATCCTATCAAACTGGGCTTAGTCTTTCATAGACGTTCTACCCAGAAATATAGTATATAATAGTTTGAGGAACATAGCTAAAATTTTCATACATTATTATAAATCGTTCCAATCTAAACGAACTACAAAAAAAAACGATAATTTCGGATTAAAATCCCGCACGGAACAAGGGTTTGTATAGCGTACAAATATCTGGATATTTTCCGTGTGCAATAATTTATGTAAGTAAAACGGCTTCACAATACAAACGTTTTATTTAAAAAAGCGAATATATTAAGTAAACAAAAATGTTACATATATATATTATCATCATGTTCATTACAGCCCATCACAAGGCCACTGCTGAACATAGGCCTCCCCCAAGGAATGCGACTAAGCACCGCATATTATAATACTGAGGAAATATTATTAATTACGAATAGTTTAAAAATGAAATAAAAATAGACAATCGGAGATAATGCATAGGTACGTCTCGTAATTACTTCCAATCCAACGCCATCTTACCGGGTCCAAAGCGCAACGATACAGAGCTCGTATGGAGAGTTGCCACACAGGTATGTCTTCCTGCTATTAATGCCGGCGCTCGGCACATGAGATGTAATACATGGAGGACCACAAGCCCGTTTCGCAGTGCGTCGAGTGATTTTTGCAATTAACGACAGCCGGCACACATATCTGACGGCAATTTGCCGCTCCTCCCGCGAGCTCCGCTGATCGGTTTCTCAGAAATGCAGTTGCATCAACAGTGGTACGCGCTAGGGCGATTAACGCACTAATTACCACACACGCCACCGTATACCACCGAACCGCAGTTGTTATGTACTAATTTGCTCAGCATTCTCTTCTCTTGTAACATTTAATGTCACATACGTAATTCGAAATATTGTTGTCAAGTACTCTTGTCATTCTACATAATGACCACTATATAGAAGTACTGGGCATCTAGTCTGCTTTGTGTTTAAAATTATGATAATATTTATTACATATGCAATGTTTAATTGCAATGTTTCTTAACAAAACGTAAGATAAAGCATTTAAAACAAGCAAAACAAAAGTGAAGTTATAATACAAGCTTTTTTACAATTGAAATATTTCTCAAAAAATGCATTATATAAAGTTATAAAGTAATTAAAAATGGGAGGAGTAATTTATATTATGTGATCACAATAATAATTTATATAATGTGATCACAATAATATCTGTCTAAACATTTATTTAGGTATTTACTAAAGTAAATGTTTGTATTAATATTTAGTACACCAACATATTGCACCACATTAGATTTAGCAGAAGGCATGTGATCTTTGAATAACATTGCTCTCCAGCAGGTTTTCTCGGAATACTTTCTTTCTCCAAGAAGCACATAGTATACCTATACATAAGCTTTAGATATCAAATACTGTTAAGAAACAAATCGCAATCTTGATCAAGTGCAGAAAAATAATCCTACTGCAATAAGTAATTTGTCATTAAAAGAGATCGATAAATTAATTTATTTGGTAAGAAGAAACGTAAAAGGAACATTTTATGTTATAATTTTAATGATTGAGAGTTGTTCATCACCAATTACATAAAAGGGTATTGTATAAACCTTAAGCATGAATCAAAGACATTTTATAGCAACATAAAATCTAAATCAATTGGAAAAAAAAGATAATTTTGTAATATTATTATGTTTTCTTAAGTACTTAGTAATAAAATGGATTTGATCTATGTATGTTAAAATGCTCTAGTATAACATAGCTCTTAAAATATTTTGATAATTTTACCTACTTTTTTTATATAACATAGGCTGACAAACAAGTACACAGTCCACCTGATGGTAAATGGATACTGTGGCCCATAGACATCTACATTTATTTTCAATCTCTCTACACTCACCATATGAAACACAGTAACATTCAGCTGCTATTTTAAGCTGATATCCTGCGAGAGTGTGGTTCTACCCCGGTCGAGCCAGCCCATTCATGCTACATCCATAATATAGGTGCAGCATGGCTATATTCTGGTTGTAAGTGACAATTGTTTGCCGTTCTGTGATAGCATTAATATGTGAATGTAAAGAAATAAAAATCTATATTTTGATTTAAATTAAATTATAACTAGGGCATGCAATTCGGATATCCGGATATCCAAATTATTCGGATATTCGCCTCGTTTATTATTCGAATAGTATATTTATAATTATTCGGTTTTTACGAATATTTCGAATACTATCCAATTTTGATTTGTTAAAAATATCCGAACGTAAACCTACTAAGTTACGTGAAAAACACGCGTGTATCCGATTGTGGGTGGTCATTCATCACGTAGCCAAAGCCGAAAATATCAAAAAAAAAGCTGGCATGTGTGCATAGCCCGAGCGGTTTTACATTTCGTATTTCATCTTTGCGATATTGTTGTGAGTTGTGAAAAATTTCAAAAATTAATAATTTGATCGAAATACCTAAATTAAACATTGATGATAGGTAAGTATCTACATTAAAAATTACTTTGCACCGCTTTTTATTATTGATATTCCAATTGGACGATGCTTAAGTCTACCTCTAATTTATAGGTTATGTTATGCTTGTGTAGCAATTTATTTGTTTTAGCAATTCCTATTGGCACACTTTTGTTTTAATTACTTACTTTATAAAATGCTTTTTTCTATCATATTTTTTTAAAGATAGATAAACATAATGCAAGCTTTACCTAAGCACGTGAAATAAACGACTGTTAATTTGGAATGTGCTGTTTTTGTGATTTACTATTGCATTTTTGATCTCGTTTCGGTGTTTTCTTTGTCGTTGTGTTATCGTATAAAGCTTGAGCTGGGTTCGTACAGTGGCTTTTATTAAAGGTTCAAAATATTTGATTGTAAATTCAGGTAAATAAGGTGTTACAATTAGATAGGTACAGTATCGCTGAATTTTGCAGACAATTGTGTGCAGAGTGCAATAATTACAATTCTTAAACTGTAAAACAATAACATAAACCAAAAACAAATTCTAAATCGACTCTAAATTCTAAAGCAGTTCCAAATATTTATATATCTCTGAAGAAACTTAATAACAAATATATTTGGTGTTGTCTTTTCTTTGTCCACAGATTAAGGATGGATGAAAAGAATAAACTTGAATTTAAAGAATATACTCGCTGTGCTGCAGATAAGTCTTCTGTTTGGCAACATTTTTTGCGGACATCAGATGGTCTTCATGCTCAATGCAAGATGTGTAAAAAAGTATTTAAAACCTGTGGAACAACTTCAAGCCTGCATAATCATCTTAGACTTGTTCATTCTATCCAGTTAGCTAAAAAAACATCTAACTATTCACTTCCGTCAACATCTCAAAAAGATATGTCATTTGATTCCGATGTCATGATGACGCCAGCAACAAAAAAGGCTAAAACAATAAATTACTTTTTTCATGTGAAGGAAGAAGATGACTTAGATACTATACTTGCAAAAATGACAGCAGTAGATGGTGTACCATTTAAAATATTCTGTTCTTCGGAATCAATGAGAAAGCTATTTGGAAAAGCTGCTTATAATTTGCCTAAATCACCAAATACAATAAAAAAAAGGATTCTAAATAAAAGTGAGCTACTGAAAAGGGAAGTAAAAAAGGAGCTTAATGATATTAAGACAGCAGGAAAACAATTGGCTGTAAGCTTAGATGAATGGACAAGTGCACGTAATCACAGATATGTGAACGTAAATGTTCATTCACCAGAGCTTTCTGAAGGTTTTAGAAACTTGGGACTGACGAAAATAAGCGGCCGTGGAACAGCAGAGAACTGTTATAATATATTGAAGGAAAAATTGGTATATTACGGCTTGTCAATACAAAATGATATCTCATGCATAATCTCTGACGGTGCAAGCGTAATGTGCGCACTAGGGAGAATGGTTCCCTCTTATCATCAGTTATGTTTGGCCTATGGTATTCAGTGCGCTGTCCTGGACGTGCTATACAAAGCTGATAACACAGAAGGTAACACCGGCATCACTGTTAACAGACCTTGCGATAGCTCTGACTCTGAGGATGAAAGTGATATAGAAAACGAAGATGAAAATGGTTTCGTCATCGAAGCTGACCCCAGTGGGGTCATTCCCAAGCTGGTTTATAAAGAATTGATAACTAAAGTCCGGAAAATAGTAAAATTTCTCAAAGGTTCGCCTACTCGCATGGATATATTCAATTCTTACCTGGAGTTCAAATCTAAAGACACGACAATGATCCTCGATTGCAAGACTCGTTGGAGCAGCCTTGCTGATATGATAGCAATATTCCTAGAATTCAAAGACGCAATTCAAAGACATTAATTGATCTCAAAGAGAAGACTACCTTTTCAGATACTGAAATATTAATTTTGAAAGATCTGTCTAGTTCTCTCAATTTCATAAAGGCCACAGTTGAAGAACTTTGCGAGCGAAAATCAAACTTACTAACCGCTGAAATTGCACTTCAATTCATGATGGAGAAATTGGCGATGAATCCAAACGTTATTAGTGGCCAGCTTATAGAAGCTTTAAATAGAAGAATCTTGCAGAGGAGAAACGCTACACTCGTAAGTACGTTACAGTACTTACATAATCCTACAAAATATTATGATGAAAGGAATACTCCTTATGCATTTTCAAAGGCATCCCATGCGGAAATAATAGCCTTAATTGTAGAAATCAATGAGACTTATTTTTGCAAAGATAAAGCTGCTACAACTGTCTTTAAAGTTGAAGATGACCTGCCTTTAAGAGTAATACAAAGACAGCAGCGTCTTGAAGATGAGAGGGAACAGGAGACAGCCAAGACATTTAAGGAACAGTTAAAGACAAAAGTTAATGAATCCTTGCACAATACTGCTGAGGTATCAACAAAACATTTGTCCGAAAATGATGACTTGAAAACATCTGTCAGAGTGGAAATGGCGTTATTAGATCGAAGTGGCCCTAAAAGCATTCATTTACAACGTGTTTACGATTTTTTACTTACCATCCCACCTACAAGCGTTGAAGCAGAACGTGTATTTTCGGCTAATAGATATTTTAGCAATCATTTGAGATGTTCATTTAATGACGATACGTTAGACGCCCTCAGTTTCCTGCGGTCATACTTTATGAACACAAAAAAGTAATTTTTTGTATTTTTAAGTATGTGTAGATTATTAAAAATGTTCCTAATTAAAATGTTTAAGTAATAATAATGTTTCATTTCAAAAGCTTAAGCACTATTCGTAAAATTCGTATTATTCGAAGTATTCGGATATTTTTTATTCGGTTATTCGGAAAATCCGAATACCTTTTTTGGACGAATAATGCATGCCCTAATTATAACTTGATGATATACATATTATGTTTGTATATTTACAAAAATCGAGTAATATAGTCATAAGTATAGGAAAAAATGTAAGTATCACCATCAGTTCACTTGTTTCTTTACACAAAATATTATTTTTATTTTATATTTAGAACTTCTGTTGACAATAAAAAAATATGAAGACTGCAGTCATTAATCAATCCTCGGACCCTTGCATTACACAATAGTTTAACTTTTTTTGTGAACAGTTATTATATGGGTTTACATCCCATGGGATTTTATACACAAAATATAAGTTAAAAACTGGGGCTTTCAAGGGATATCATCATTACAGCCCTTCTTAAGTCCACTGCCGAACATAAGTCTCCCCCAAGGAATGCCCGAATGGAAAGCACGGTCCTGAGTCACCTGCATCCACCAACTTGATACAAAGCTGGTAATATAAACTTAAAGATAAGAAGTACAAGTATATAAGCGTTACAGTACTGCCAATAAGACAGTAATAGCAAATTGTTTAACAAGATGTAAAAGGTCTTTGAATTGTAGTCTTAGCATGTCACAAACAAGAAGAACACAGAATGAAAAATATTATTCCCTAATGCTTAGAGTAAAACATTAGTCTAATCTGCCATCTACATGCATAAAAAGTTGGTTTTATAGCCACATCACAATGATAAAAATTATGTGCTTTGAAATGTTTTTTAACATTTTAATATTTACTAGCTTTGTAAGTTACGACAAAGCTATGCTTCTGGCTAGTTTTTATAAGATCACAATAGATTTTACAACATTTTATAACATAGTAACCTGGCATTAGTGTTCTTAAAAGAAGAGTATAGTATACATTCTTGTTTCCATTTTTGTTTAAGGGGTTTCGAAACGAGAGATTTGCATATGAAGTTTCTGTACAGGTTTGTAGACTTATCCCTGAGACAATCTAGCAAATCCACATGGTATTGATTTATTTTAAATTTTACTTATATGCGTGGGTTTAGTAAATATTACAGAAAGGATTAACAAAGTAGACTAAAAGCGAAATGATGATGGAATAAAAATTCAACTTTTAAAAAAAGAAAATTTTGGATTACTTTACATAAAGAAATGCTATTTCATCTACTCCAGAATAAAAAGCAAAACTTATTTTACAAGTTTCATGATATGAAATGTAATTAAGGATAAATTTAAAAATCGGTGTAATTCGATATTGTCTCGTTATATTAATAGTATCAAAAGTAATACGCTAAGTTTTATAAAGATATATATTGTAATAAGTAAAATCTTTCAAACCATATAAGAAGGAATTACTCACCAAATCCCAAGATAGTAATATCCAACTTTCCAAGAATTCGAGTTTTAACACCATGCAGTCAGTCAGTTTGTCACAGTTCGTTTAGCACCACAACACTTGATCGCTTTCATTCATACTTTGTTTTACAGTTCTTTATTATGACAAATATTTAAACTATACGAAACAAAACTGTTACAAAAAATTAAAAACTAGACACCACATGCTCCCACCTTCAATGTGAAAAAGCAACTGACACTGACACTGACATGACAATGACAACACAGACAAACTGACATTTGTCAGATCTTTTTTTTTTGGAGTTTATGGCCTGGTATCTAGACCTTTAGGCCAAGTCTTGAGTAAAAGAAAAAAAACATTTGTCAGATCCGGGCAGATCAGTATTACTATTGCTTATTTTCGAAGTTCCCGCCGAAGTAAGTTTTCATCATCATCATCATTACAGCCCTTCACAAGTCCACTGCTGAACATAGGCCTCCCCCAAAGAATGCCACAAAGCACGGTCCTGAGCCACCTGCATCCATCTACTTCCTGCATGTCTTACCAGGTCGTCACTCCATCTCGTGGGGGGACGCCCTACACTAAGTAAGTTTTGTTCCCCACTTTTCCCCGCAACATGATATAAAAATGATTGTTAAGAAAGCGTTAAAAAGATTTAAAAAAGTAGGTTAATGCACGAAATTGAATGACTTCAAAAATTAACTGAATTTTACCATGATAGTTCTAAAATAATTAAAAAATATTCATATAACATGTTTTTGAGAATAAGCTAAACCTACCTGTCTATTGTTGGATTTTAATGCAAATGTAAATAATCCCTGATGATTCTACCGATAAACTTAAAAAAAAACTCCCCAAGATGATCTGATAATTGGAAAGTTGTATTTTTGAGTTATGATCTTTGGAGAAATATATTTACTACCATAGACAGTTTCCCCGGAATTTCTTTTTTAACATACTGGTAATATAAATACTTAACTAAGTATATAATTTATAAAATGTTTTGATGGGAAAATAAATAACGGGGACACGGAGTACATAATGGATGCTTTATTTTTCATATAAGTATTACTTTTGATAATTACAAACAGTTAATAATGAATAATTAAATACATTATATTATAGAAGCTTATTTTAACATTCGACTAAAATATGAATGTAAAATTAATAATTTAAATAAGGAAACTTGTAGGAATCAGTTAAATAAGAATGCTCTGTTTAAAGGCCAACATGTTTATGAGGCTTCATCATGCTTTATGTTTATATTCTTTATAAACTTATTTTCATTTGAGCTGCATGAATTTTAAATACATAATGATCTTAACAGAGTAAAGTGCAACAAGTGTCTGATGATACGGATGCACTCTCTATTCTCTCTATCTTAGTATGTTAAGAAAATGGTCACACACACACACAAATGGACTAACCGTGGCAAGTGCAACTTAATCTCGCAGATCTATTAATCCGCGCAGCTATTACTTAACCACGAGTTTCTCTTCTCTACGACTAACGCTGTAGGCGATGAACCATGCTATTTATGCTATAAGCACTCGGTACGATATCGTCGACCAGCAAGCATGAATCAGGCATCGAGCGTTGTGAGTATCAAATACTATGGAATTTATACTATCGTGGCACATTGAACCGCGCGTCTCATGCGCGGGCGTCTAGTGGCGCTTCCAGAGCATTACTAAATAATTGTATTATATCTAACTACGCTAAAAGATTTATCATTGTGACTTGGGAATATAATCTGACGCTCCTCGCAACGCCTTGGGGAAAATAGCGTGATGCTACGAATATTGCACTAGTGTGACCGTGAGGTGCGGCTGGTGAAGTAAGGTTATCCATTTTTTTTTTGGTTGATAAATAGATACTTAGGTGGGTTCATAATGGCTTAGATAGGATAATATCAAGATTTTTTATCTTTAATGTATTACAGTTTTATAAAGTATAAAAAATTGTCTCTATTTTTATTTAAGTTTTGAAAGTTAAATTTTTGAAGTCAAAAGTAAGTATTATAATAATATTATACTTACTGGAACAAATAATATAGTATAAAGTAAAGTAAAGTTGCAGCCTATTTACGTCCTACTGGGCACAGGCATCCTCTCATTTCTGTGAGGGTTTTAGGGTAATGAAATATCGGCCGCGCTGCCCCAATGCGTGTTGGCGAACTTCACATGTCTTCGAAATATTTTTGGACATGTAGATTTCCTTCACCGCCAAGCACGTGGTAAATCAGCACTTAAAATTGCAATTAACAATTTCATTGCTGCCGGCGGAGTTCGAACCCGGGTTGCTCAAGTACTGTGAAGCTTACATCGAGCGCTAACCATCTGAGCTACCACGGCTCTATCTAATAATGGCTCCTTTTAATAAAATTGTTTTCATTCTACTTTTTCACCTACCAACCTGTCCAATTAACTTAATCATTTTTCTAATTACGGAATCCCGAGAGGATCTGTTTGACAAACAGCAAAATAAAATTACATTTATAGAATGCAAACCGAGGATTTATTTTCTTGTTGTGTGGGCAAGTCTATCGATTCAATATAAACATTCAAGATAAATATCGACATTAATTTTGATATAGTTCAGTCAATCCCCCGCGTACAGGTAAAATATTTTGTATAAAAATTTATTTACCAAATTAATGCAAATCGTCAATAACGTGATTCTTTTCTTTGCAAAATATCAAAA